CCAAAAGAATGAGGTTTTTTGCTTGGTCAATAGGTTGGTTGGCGAGAATCGTGGCTTAATTTGGATTGAAAATCGATTTCTATTCAACTAATGATTTCAAAATAGAGAGTTTAAAACTCCTCTTTCGGATAAAGAATAAGAGTAGTCCCATAACTGTATCTACATCAATCCACATCATACCCATTCCAATTTAATTCAATTAAGAAGTATCCTCAAAGATAACTTCTTTTTTCCTGGTCAGGTCAACAAAGTCATGAAATATTTCGATTTATCTATTTTTTTCTATAAAATCTAATGGATTTACCTGAACCAATACATGATTTTCTTTTCCTTTTGATAGTGAAAAGGTACATCTCTTGGGTAAAGACTAAGAGCAATTCTGTCTTAACATCCCCAGCAGTCCCATATATTCCACGCAGAGTGCCGGCGGCAAATAATGGATTCAGCAAAAAAGAATCAGATTTTTCACAAAACCTTCATTTACCAGACGATACGGAACAAGATAATGCCCATGAGTTTCCCGAAAACGGACTTTTTCTAACAGTGATCTCGATGAAAACATGGCAATAGCATAAATTTTTGCACAGGCTGTTTCATTTACCTTGCACTTTGTATTCATTTCTTTCCTTCAATTATTGTACTTGTGATAATGCTTTGGTGTTGTACTTTGGTTCTTGTTTGCTCTACCATCTTTCATATGTGGTTTGACCATCTTTCATATGTGGTTTGATCTTCTCCAAAGCTTCTTGCGAGTGTAAATTTGGACATGAATTCAAGAACATCAGCATTTTGAGGCAAATATGATACATGCATCCTTCTTGAATATCGTAATTTGAAATCTACCGTCTAAATATTATGATGTGAAGTTTTGAAATCCAAAGAGCACAAAGAAGCATATGATTTGGTATGTAATAACACGTTTTTGAAAATCCACACTTTCCCAAACTAAGCGAACGGATGGAATATAGCATTTCCACCCATGGTAAATACTTGATCATATGTGTCTTGGTTGATCTGCATTCTATTACCGTGAGATGATACACAATAACTGAGAATCATATGCAAACTGTAAGCGAAGATAATTATAACCATCATCCATTGACTCAAGCAAGCACAAAGTTACTGCCAATAAAGTATTTTACATCCACTGAAAAAAATCTTTACAAGGGAGTTACAAGCACATGTATATTGCTTGCACTATATACACAAACAAGTACTTAAGCAAGTCAAATTATTTTAGAGTAGAATTTGTAAACTTGAAAACAGGTTAATCCAATACTCCAATGATGCTGCCAAAACCAGTAGATGCAAGCAAGAGATACATAGGCAGCACTTTGCCAAGGAAACTTTCACAAATTATTCTCCTCGAACCTCCTCTTGACACACGGGACAATTCTGTTAGAAAGAGAGATAGGGAGAGAGTTACAGTTCCACATAAAAAGTACTTCAGGTATGAAATGTGTTATAAAAACTAAACATTACATTCTTTTTAAAAATTGATTTATGCAATAACGCTTAGTTCACATTCATTACTAACCAATATAAAATCCATTTTTTGTTTCTTCAGAGTTCAAAGTATGTCCTTCGCATGCATATGCAATACCCATTCTTAACATCTTGGGATGACAAATCAAGCAGATGCAAAAGGGTAAAAAATTCTCAAAATTAAAAGATAAACAAAAATTACTCTCACCTTATTGAGTTTCAACCAACGTGTAATGCATGCTGAATGATACTGGTGTGCACAAGGCAAAGTTATCAGCTTAGCTCCATTCTTGTATTCGGCACAACATATCACACACCTAAAATGTAGACATAGAAAACGTAAGACTAGTCAAAATTTTCTATTCTTCTAATCGGTGTACAAGCCATACAACATTTAATTGATTAAAGAGTATCCTCTGTATACTTTTTCATGCCCATGAATGCATTGAATGATGGAACGGCCTTAAAAAGTACTAGTCTCCCATCAACTGCTTGACACCTACATCTCCAACTTCAGAACATATAGGTGACAACAAGTTTGACTAAGCTTAAAAGTTACTTCTAAGTAAATTTTTTTGGTCTAATTACTTTTTTTTCATTTTTCATTTTTTAGACTCAGCCAAATATGCTCTCAAATAACATCAATTGGCTTGTTATTTTGGGTGAGAATGCAGGACAGAACTTGTCATCATGGATACATTTTTCACTTAACATAAGAAATGTACACAATTCTAGTGCAGATTTGAGATCGTAAAGTTCCTACTCTTTTTTCTTTTTCTTGGAGAACAACCCTGCTTTGTATTTAAAAGTCGGTAAACGAGAGATGAGATCATCTGAAAGTCCTTTGCTCTCATTGCCAACAGCTTCCCCTAGTGACAGCAATTCCTATAAACAGATAAAGTAACTCATCGACTGTAAATGATTTCTTATTTTTAAGAAAAGACGTTCAGGGTTGAACAAAGTACAATATGCAAGCTTTCAGATTAGCCAACCTCATAATTCATAATATCTGGATCAATTTCGTCTTCCCTTGTGTTTTGGCTCACTATCTGCATTTAATCACACAAACTAAGAATCACAACGTGAACTCTAACGTCAAGCTTCAAAATACGCACCCAGAAAGGTGCAGGAGTTTGCACAAGTACCCTGGCAGGTGTTACTCTGGGAGTTGAGTCTGTGCTCTCTGCAGATCATGTCACTCTCAATATTAGCATTAATGTATGATAAAAATTAAGTATGGCAACAAAGTATTAAAATTTGAAACTGATCCTCAAAGGAAGTAGAGCTTTTGTAGCAAGTAAACTATTAGATTTCGTTGAGTATCAAGAGAAGAATATCAAAAAACACCTATGCCTGCATACAAAAGGCTCATGCAATGAATATTTCTCTCCTCTCCCCCCAAAGTGAGATGACAGTGTTAAAAGTTTGGTCACAAAACTTAATTTTGTTCAAAAAGTTAGTCACTCCATCCATATCTGCTAATTTGACCAACAAAAAAGTTAATGTAGCACTCTACTTATTTGCCAATGAATCTGTCAACTACTTTGCCACATCAGCTTTTCAGTGAGCCAAACTAAGAGACATGGATGAAGTTGCCAAATATGACCAAATGTTTATGTTTTGTGACTGACTGACTAACATGCTGTGTTGCATGGATACTTTAACTAAGTTAGCGTATCCGTGTCCGACACTCTACCATGGCCATTATCTTTCTTTATTAGGAATATTATATATTTTTAACTCAAAATTATTATTAAATAATAAATGTGTACTCATATTTAAAAGATTTCAACAAAAAAAAAATTAATAACAAGTAAAAATTTAAATTTATACTATATAAATAACATTTTTAAAGATTCTAATTTACGTGTGAGTACTCTTTGAAAAATCAAGTGTCGGTGCATGCGACATGCGTCATGTCAAACACACATATTCATGTCGGTGCATCACAGCTAACATGAAACTAGGTGAAGCATAATGATCAATTTTGCTAGGAGTTCAGTAAGCACCAGTGTTTTTACCTATTTGGAAATATACAGGCTATATTACTGAATTTACATGAAGCTGGGATTTATTACCAACTATGCTGCCACCACGCTCAGAACTATATACGTCAGCTAAGTTGTCCCCCAATTCCAAAGATCTAGCAAAAGCTTCATCAAGAGCTAGTTGTGAATCATTTTCTTGTGCTGAATTCTGACTACTATTGCTAGTTTGGCCATTGTCAGATGTTGACACCTTTTCCTTTCCACTGGCTTGAATATGTAGATATGCACTTTCCTAAGATAGAACATAAAATCAGTCAGACAACTAATATGCAAACAGAAAAGAAGACTGTCCCGGGTAAGTGTCCCAAAGTACCTGTTGTAGAAGGACTTCTTCAACATCAAGATCACCAAACTCGGGATAAATCTCTTTGAAGTGTACAGCAATTTCAGATGGGGTCATACCATTCAGATAATGATTATATGCCTCATTGTTACTCATCATGGACGTGTCAGACATTATCAGAGAATATCCTTTTTAAGTCCTGCTTAAAATTATACTAATAATCATTTAAGGTGGGAAAATTTCAGAAGCAGCAGATAAAGTGCTCACAGAAACTCAAGTTCATAAATCAAGCAGTTCAAGAAAGGTATAAGCACATGCCATTTCCCAGAAAGCGATGCCATGATTTTCGTATTACATTCACACTCGGCCATTAGTATCGAAGGAAATGTTTATACCTATATGCAAGTCACTATAGAATCTTGATCTTGAAATTACTAAAAAAAAAATTCTTTTCTTTTCGCCATCGTTTTTCTCGAAGCATTCTTGTTGATCGTGACAGGTGATATGGATTGGCTTCATTACAGGGACAAATTCTGTAAACCGGTTTAGAGCACTAATGACAACGCCAAAGTAAAAACTTTATTACTCCTCAAAACATGGCAACATGAATATTATGGAATTTTTCTTATTTGAGAATTAAATATCAAAGATTATTCTTCTGCTCTGTTCATAAAATAACCAGAATTGTGGAGGACTTTATTTAATTGTTTTGTTTTTGTTAATTACGAATTGGAAACAACGATTGTCAAAGAAAAAACAATATTTATGTGTGTGCATTTCCCAATAGGTGCAAATGACTATTTAAAGTTATTTACCTTGACCAACAAAAATCTTTGTCCAACATTAAATTTATCTGTTAATGATATTGACGTTCTAATTTATTGATGTTTATACACATTTCTGTAAGTTGAAGATTTTAGAAAAAAAATTCAACAAAAAAAAAAAAAAAAAAAATCTATCACATACATAAATTCCAAGGACTTTCTCACACCCAAAAAGATTCATAAAAGCTTTTTGAATTTTAAATCTCTGACTTCATAACCAGAACACATTAAAAGCTAAAACTAAGAAATTTAATTAAAACTCCACAGTTCACTTAGCAACACAGCAATCTTATGAAATTCAACAGTCCCATTACTCTGCACCCAGAAATCCGCCAAGATACTTTTTTTGAGTATGAATGCTGAGAAAAACTTACCAGATTTGAGCCCAAAAAACCCAGAAAAGAAGTCTTGAAATTAACACTCTAAAGTAAGGAATAAAAGGGAAATCGAGTCACCTTTATGATGAGATTTATGAGTTCTTGACTTTACCCTAGATTCTCTTTATTTCCTCTTTGATACTGAAGTCTCACTCTCAAATGAGCAGCAAAAGATCCAAGTACAGAGCAAAGATCCAAGTACAGGAATACATTTTGCCACGTGACAAATGATCCTTTGACAGTTTCAGAAACAAAACAGTTTTTCCTCCAATTATTTTCTTACATCACATCAAATGTCTAGCATTTTTCATAAAGTTAACACTGGCAATAAAGATAACATTTTTATATTTGGAAGCTGGTGGCAAAAATGGTGCCCGACTTGACTTTTATCTTCTAAAATATGTGTGCAATCGAATGGAAAGTAATAAGCCAAGAATGCACAATGCCTACCAGCTTTGAGCCCCATTTTTTTGGGAAGAATAAACTTTTGAACAATGTATTGATAGAAAATATATAGTTAAAATATAAGAAAAATTTTTAGATTTATATGTAATATTATTTTATTGAAAAATGTATGATTGAAATGATATTAAAATACTGTTAAGAAATGTATTTTTTCAAAAGAATGAGACTCAAACAAGGACTAAAAGTAAATGCCCCTTTGTCTATTACTAATGAATAAAGACAATCTCAAATTTCTTCCTTTTTAACCAGAAAAAACTTAATTTTTTCTAAATAAAACACTGAAATCAGTATTCTTTTTCAAGGAAATTGTTCCAAAAATCGCTGAACTTATATTATGGTTCACGGATTGCTCACCTAACTTTATTTTGTTTCACAGCGGTCACTGAACTTTCTCTGTTACCCTAAAAAATCTATTTCATTAATCGCTGACGTCACGGACACAAATTTGACGTGATGGTTGCCGATTGTTAAAACTTAAAATAAAGCCCAATGAATATAAAATGCCTTTTTTCAAACACGTTTTTTGCAAATAAATACACATTTTATCAAAATCTTCAAAACCAAAATGATCTTTTCGTCACTTCCCCCAAATCGAATTTCAAGCTACAAACTTCACCCAAATCTCTATCTAATCTTGCAAACGGTCTTTCTACAGCACACACCGGCCAATCAGGTACTGCTCGTGAAGATAATGTCGTGCAATATATGACGAATCCTTAACATTCGCCGGCTATAATTCACCTTCTTTTCCGCTTTTTACCCATCTCATTCTTCTCCATGCTTTTTGGTGGTAGTATCTAAAGTTTCTGGGCAGATTGGGTCCCGAAGGTACTGCTATTGTAGGCCGACCTCATGGATAGAGAGCAATCTAGGATGGAGGTTCTCAGCTGCCGATTCTATCGAATACGTGACACCCGCAATTTCTTTGATTAGGTCGACACGACATCTAATGATAAGTACAACTGTACAAGGTAGTTATTAATGGGTTGATACATTCGAAGAATGAGGTCGAAGAGGAAAACCATAAAAATGCAAGTATGAGAAAAGACAATTGCGTTGTGGGTCATTTTCATGTGTTTGTAATTGTAACCGTGGCGAGAAGTGCCGAAGCAGTGTTCTTGATGGTTGTTACCATTATGTGATTTGTAATGAAAGCAATGTCTGTAATGTAATCAAATATAAGAAATCACTACCTGAAAGA